GGTATGGAGTTTGTAACTACTTGAAGGAGTCATCTGCGGTATGGACATATATATATATTCTTGCTCAGCGTAAAATTCTGCGTCGATTTAGACATGTCCGTCTGTCCGTCCGTCCGTCCGTCCGTCCGTCCGTCCGTCCGTCCGTCCGTCCGTCCGTCCGTCCGATCGCACGATAACTCAAAAACGAATAATGCAATCGACACCAAACTTTCACAAGTTTTTTCTTTTGTGCCAAGGACGAGCCCTATTGTTATTGGACTAATTCGGACAACGGGTTCGGGTAGCTGCCATACAACTCAAAGAGTTTATTTTAAATATTTCAAAAACTAATAAAGCTGTAAATATAAAATTTTGTATACATGTGTCCAATTATATTCTACATATGCTCTAAGAATTATAATGGGATAGCTGCACCGGTTCGGGTGGCTGCCATACAACTCCAACAGCAAATTTTTTATATTCGGCAAAATAATAAAGTCAGATTCATGAAACTTGGCAGTCATGTGTCCAATTATAGGTCAAATATACTTCTGAAGTTTTAGAGGAATTGCTTTACAGGTTCGGGTACCTGCCATACAACTCCAGAAGCTAATTTTAAATATTTGGGAAAATAATAAAGTCAGATTCATGAAACTTGGCAGTTGGATGTCCGATTATAGATCAGATATATTTTTGAAGTTTTAGAGGAATTGCTTGACAGGTTCGGGTACCTGCCATACAACTCCAGAAGCTAATTTTAAATATTTGGAAAAATAATAAAGTCAGATTCATGAAATTTGGCAGTTTTGTGTCGAGTTATAGGTTAGATATATTTCTGAAGTTTTAGTGGTATTGCTTGACAGGTTCGAGTAGCTCTCATACAAGTCTAAAAGCTTATTTAAAAAATTTGGAAAAATAATAAAGTCAGATTCATGAGACTTGGCAGTCGTGTGTCCAATTATAGGTAAGACATATTTCTAAAGTTTTAATGGGATTGCTTGACAGGTTCGAGTAGCTCCCATACAAGTCTTAAAGCTTATTCTTAATATTTGGAAAAATAATAAAGTGAGATCCATGAAACTTGGCAGTTGTGTGTCCAATTATAGATCAGATATATTTGTGAAGTTTTAGTGGAATTGCTTGACAAGTTCGGGGACTTGCCATACAACTCCAAAAGCTAATTTTAAATATTTGGAAAAATTATAAAGTCAGATTCATGAAACTTGGCAGTCGGATGTCCAATTATAGGTCAGCCATATCCGTGAAGTTTCTATAGAATGACTTCACAGGTTCGAGTAACAGCTACACAATAACGAAAGGTGCAGGGTATAATTCAATCGGCTTATACCGACTGAAACGTTTTTACTTGTTAGGTTTTTTTTTAACATTTTTTTTTTACCAAATTTGTCAATTTAAATTAAAAATTGTTTAAACATAAAGTGTCGAGACGAGTTTTACTAGTTTTTATAGTTTATTTATTTTTTTCTTTTTGAAATTTTTATAGAGCAATAAATAATTTGAGTGAATTCAAGTTTTTGCTCTTCATTTATATTGCTGACAATATATAAGGAAAGAAGGAAATTTTATTTAGAAACTAATAAATTAGTTCTTCTTCTTACGATTTCTTCACTGGACATTATCCTATTAAATATCATCTTACTCTACTTTATGTAGATTCTGTCAGGATAAAGAGAAATTTGGCTATTTACATTTTGTGTTCGGGCGAGCCTTTTGCAGTATTGAAGAACTGACATCCAAATCCTTGAGTGATATCTCCGAATATTTACTTCGGTCCGGGATAATATGAGTGGAGATTAAGAGGTTTACAATAAGCTACATTTAGCTCATTAATTGCGTTAATTGCGGTAGTCGGAACTGGGGATATTTTATATATCTCTCTTTGAAAATCTACAAATGAAGTTTTTGAATACAAGATTCTTAAGAAACTGACTAAAATTAAGCATATATGCTTTTTTATGTGTAAAAGCAGTTACACATTTTATTAAACACATAGACCTAAGTACTTACATTATTATTGAATTATTATTGCTAAACCCATATACCCAGCATTAAAAAACACAAACTAAAAACAAATTAGCGGATGAAATAAAATGAAAAAAATAAGGCTATAAAACGAGTAATGCGAACCACCATAAAAAAAAGAGTTCAATATTTTCACACTACGTTCACATTTACTCAAATTCTTTCATAGTATACTTTCATAAATTCAAATATATGCTTGTGATATGTATTTACTAGAAACTATAACTTCCACTTCAGTAATAAAAATATTGCAAAAAAAAGAACAATAATACATACTGAAGCTTTTTGGAATTCGATACAATTTGGAACAACCTTTTTTGAATAAATATGATTTTTTTTATGTGTACTTCATTTTAAATAACATAGACGCTAACACTATTATTGTATGTACATACATATATGTGTATAATATATTATAGTGTATATATTGTGAAGTTAAAAATGTTAAGTCGCCATTTGACTAAATAATGGATTATAAGTCTCCGTATAATCAATATATTCAAAATATATAAAATAACTTTAGAAGATTACCATAGTATAAGCCCTATTCAGTATAGGCCAGACATTCATACATATGGATAATATATGCAGAAAATTTTTAAGATTTGAATTTAAAATAGTTAAAGGCTGATTGCAATTTCATGGTGATATATTGCTTTTCAAAGCAATTAAACAAGCGGAAAAGTTCAATACAAAAAAAAACTAACAAAAAATGTCAGAAATAGGGAAATAATATAATATATACCCTTATACATATCTGTTATATTCAAACTATTTAGTCAAAATATAGGCAATTTTTGAGTAGAGAATAAAATGTTATGCTTTTAAAATTAAGTAAATTTAAGATTAAATTTACATCGAACACTTTATATTTTATAGATTATTTTAGTTTAAATTTTGTATGTATTTTGTGGGTGGCTTAGGTTTTATGAATAAATAAAATATTTATAAAATTTATTAATTAAACGTTGTAAATAACATAGCATAAATTTCTTAAACAATTAATTCCATTTACTTGTACGCAAGAAGATTCCTTGCGTACAAAGTCGATACGTACACTGAACGAAAAGATTAGTTTAAATTAGCTAAAATTCGAGTGTGGCGCAGCTTATTTATTGGGTGTTTTTCAGCCAACTAATATATTAGGTAATATAACTAAGAAAAATTGGGTAAAACTTGGTATAAAAAAACAATGGAAAATCAGCCAAGCCTTAGTGAAATTAAGCTTATCGGTTTTGGCTAAAACTTATTGCCTTAGGCAGAGCAGCTTAGCCACTTAGGTGTTTTACCTTATTTCTGACTGTTATATTTGTATAACAGCGTAAATTGTTATACAAGTTTTACCTTATTTTTAAGCTGTATTACCTTAACAGTTAAGGTGTTCTACCTAATTTTTAAGGTACTTAAATAGCTTAACAAATAAGGTGTCTTACCTTATTTCTTAGGTGTTCAAATAGCTAAGCAAATAAGGTGTCTTACCTTATTTCTTGGGTGTTCAAATAGCTTAGAAAATAAGGTGTCTTACCTTATTTCTTGGGTGTTCAAATAGCTTAGCAAATATGGTGTTTTACCTTACTTCTTGGCTGTTCAAATAGCTTAGTAAATAAGGTATTTTAACTTATTTATAAGCTGTTTAAATAGCTTAATAAATAAGATGTTTTAACTTATTTATAAGCTGTTTAAATAGCTCAATAAATACGGTGTTTTAACTTATTTATAAGCTGTTTTAATAGCTTAATAAATAACGTGACTTACCTTACTTTTAAGCTATTTTATGATAACTAATAATTTAAGATATTAAACTTAATTTCAAGTGAAAATCTGGCAACAATGTACAATAAAAAATTTGTTTTTCAATTATATGTGAATTAATTAAAGCGATTTTTATTTAAAAAAAAATATTGTAAATTATTTCGTGAAATAATATTCTGTTATTGTCATAATTATTGAAATATTCTTTGAAATATTATTTTGTAATAAAAAAATACATTCCAATTTGAAATTTTGTAACATTAAAAGTAATCTAAATGTAAATTGAAAGTAATATTAATTAATCCAAAATGTTATACTTTATAAAAAAACTAAAATACAGAAACAAAAAGAAATTTTCCTTTTCTCTTTTGGCAAAATTATTTTAAAAGTTTCAAATTTGTTTTTCTTGATATGTTTGTTACTTATCCATATATAGCAAAAACTTTGATGTTCACAAAAAAGATTTTCAAATTGTATTTCAACTTTCCAAAATGAATTTAATTATTGCTTATATCTATCCTTTAAAAAAAAATTGTTATAAAATTTAAACTTATTTTTAATTCTGTTAATTCTGTATAATTAATGACTGACTCTAAATGTAAACAATATTGTGTTTTAAATATTTTAGCCTTATGCAAAAAGTTATATAAACTAAATAAGCTAATGAGCTAATTCCGTATGTTCAATTTCTTAAATAATTTAAAACGAAAAAAACTTCCTTCCAAAATACGATAGAATAATTTGAAGCAACATTGAATAGTTTCTAAGTATTAAATTGAAATTTTGCATCTGCCAGAACAATTTAGAATTTTTGGTAGCGAAATTCTTCTCCGGTAATCAAAATGAATGGTTGCAAAGTCGATTTATTTTGATAATGTTGATCAGTTAATTCGTTTAAGACACTATTCACTTGACTTTCCAAATTGTTGGTAATGTAAATGATCATTGGGAATCATGAATAGTATATTTTGTCCGTTTTCCATTGATTACCTTGGTAGACGGTAATAAAATTCAAATAGAAACTTCATATTACAAAGATGTATCATGTCTAAAATAATAATTAACTGTGTTAATGACAACGAGAAACTATATCATAGCATTAAGATTATAGAAATAAAACTACAATTTATTGTTTATTAATTTGTAATAAAATGTACGAACCTGAATCCATCATACTATTTTTTCTTTAAATATTTTTAATAAGTTTTATTTGCAGCATCTTTTATCTTTATTGTAAAATTTCCACTGCAACTTTACAAAAACTGTTCCATAAATCAAAATAAAAGTTATTATGCCGGAATAGTGTGAGTAATTCTATCTTATCAACCTTATATATAGAGATTATCAATCTGGAAAAATACAATTTTTATTAATTAAATATTTATGTGATTTTATTAACACATTATAAAATTTTTTACTAAGACAAAAAAAGTTTGATAAAAAACTTAAAACTTATAAAATCAAAAATTTTTTGTTCGGGCAAACATCTTTTTCTTCAATGCTTTTTGCTCACAAACTACTTGCACATTCAAGTATTATTGTTACATAATTACTCTTGTTTAAAAAACGTCAGGTTTTTTAAAATGTTCGCGGAAGAACACTAAATAATTTATATTTCTTAAATTTTCTAATTTCAATGACAAGTCTTACCAGCTCAGGTGCTTTTAAGTATCTAAATAGTCATTCCACCAAAATTTGTTCCAGATTCCTGTTGCTGAAACATATTTTATTTTTGGACTTTGTAGTTTTTTTCCATTTTGGTATTAATTCATCCCAATCCCGTATGTATTTAAGCTCAGTGCAAATATTTTTTGCTTCTTGAGGTGAAACGTTTTCCATATCTATATAATAAGTGTGAAACATATAAAAAGCATTCAGTTAAGTAAAGTACAAAATTATAACTATTTTAAATATAGCAAAAATATTTACCATTTTGTTAAGTATAGTCTATTTGATACTCTAATTTAGGAAAAATAGCATTATCTGATACATCGTCTGTTGTTCCTTTTTTTGCACTCTGCATCTGAGACTCTAGATTGCAATTTTTCATTCTTATTCATTTTCCCTTTGGTTCAATAAATAGCTCTTTCACGCTCCCAGAACTAACCTGGTTTAATTCAAGTAGCACATCGCAAACAGTAGTGCATCGTTTTGTATTCATATAATTTTAAATATTATAAAATTTGACGATGAGTATATTATACACATAAAATTAATTTAAAATACTTACAAATCTAAGTATTCAATATTCACCCAAAATAAATAAAGATAACTACATAAATTAAATTTGATTAAAATATAATATCTAAGCCATTTTACTGAAAAAAAGCATTATCTTTAAACAACCTGTAGAAATAGTAATATGCTTAAGTATGTATTAGGGATGTTTATGTATGCATGTATATATGAATATATTGTCTTCCGACGAATGATTTTTTATTATTTTGATTTGTTGCAAAAATCTTTGTGTTGTTTAATCTTTTTAGTACTTTTTAATTATAAAAAAAAAATAAAAAAACATGAAAAGTGTGAATAGAAGAATAAAAGAGACAAAAATAACTGTAAATAAGTTTGGACGCTTCGAATGATTTTAACATTCATAGTTAATTTCACCTATATACATACATACATGCATATACATATATAATTTCAAATATTTAAAATTTAACTTACCAATATTTCGATTCCTTTTTTTTCTTTTCCTTTTATGTTTCACTTTTGTACCAAATTTTTTACATAAATATAAATCTTCATAAATGTATGTACATATGTATATATTTTTCAAAAAATTTAATAAAATTAATAAAATGTGTTTGTAAAGTAAATTTTAATTCTTTCAAAGTTATGTTTTAGCAACTTTGTTAATATTTTGTTCATATAAATTTCGAATATTTATGTTTTTCTTAAATTATACTTTTACTAGAATTATTTTAACTTTAATTTTTTTAATACATACATATATTTTAAAATTATTATTCACTGAAAAAAAAAAACACTTTACTAGCAAACACTCTTTATGCGAGACTAGAGACGAATAAAATTTAATCTGTACAAGACATAAAAATCAATGTGGTTTTGATAACTGTTTCTCTCATATACGTAAATAAACGATTTACTTTTTGCTCTCATGTGATCTTTCTCCCATATTTATAAGAAAAATCACCTAAGAACTTAGCCGGCTTAACAAAATATTTGGCAAAATTGATATAAACTTTTAATTTGGCTAAGTTTTTTGCAATTATAACCAGCGTTACCATTTTATGGCAAGTGGGATGAGCCCGTTTTTCTTGCTAAAGATCTATTTGACTGATTTTTCGTCTTGAAGAAAACATTAATTCTTCTTTTTTTAAAGTTTTTTATATATAATTTGATTATAAAAATTTTGCAAGACCTTAGAATTAAGTTGTAAGATTGTGTACAATGCTCTTAGTATTGGTAATTTAATATTACTATAAAACCCATTTCCATATTAGAATGTGTTTTTTTAGTTGTAAAATATCGAATATGCAGCAAAAGGTTTTTTAAATATTTTATTCCCAATTTTATATATTATTTACATATAAACAGAAAATTTTTCAGACCTCATACAACAAAATAAAAAACGCATGGTAATATAAAATTTGAATTAAATTTGCAATTAGAATAGCAATAAGTTTTTTAATTCGAAAATTAAGCACATTATTAATCTTGGCCCTTTTGTTTTACAATTTGACCTATTAATTGTTTCATGAATGGTAACCCTGGTTATAACCTATTCATAGACCATGTATTCAATACTTAAATAAATTAATAACTGCACTTTTCTCTCTTACATATGTATGTACGTATACATGTATAAAATCACCTAAAAACTTAGCTAATTTAACATAAAACTTGGCAAAATTGTTATAAATTTACCAGCTTATTTTTGGGAATTAGGTATGACATATTTACAAGCAGAGGCGATTCTACTATGTGTTCAAGAGTAGCACTTGCACTGATAACTAAAAATTCTGAAATATTTTTTTTCCTCTATTTATATCTATGTTAAGTATACGAAAAGTTGTAACATAAATAACATAAATTTTAAGTTGACTGTTTTCTATATTACAATAAATATCTATATAAGTCAGACAATTTATATAATAATATAAATTTGAAGTATTAAAATAAAGTTTTTTTGTTATATGTAATAATTAATATTTTTTCTTTGATTATACTGCCTTAATAGAAAAGTTATAGAATAGATTTGGAATGATTGAAAACCACCTACAAAATGTGCTGTACAGTTTTTAAAGCTGAATAAATGAAATTGACGAATTGTATATGTACATCTTTTAAAAAATGGAAAATTTTGATTATATTGGAAATTTTAAATGTAATCAAAATTCGTGAAAAATAAAAAAATGTCTTCCTCAAAATCAAACGAAAATATCAATATTTTTAACGGGGAAATATTAGAAAGTAAAAATAATTTAGTTTTTTAATTTACATCGTTCAGAAAGAAGTTTATAAGAAAGTTTTAAAAACGACATTGGTTATTTCCTTTTATTTTTTTATTGCAACCTATTTATCAAGTTTATGTTAAAAGAGCACTTAATTATTATGCCGTCCCCTGCAGATTTCAGAAATGACTTAAACTTTGTGATTCCAAATTATAGGACAAAATTTTATTATGATAACACAAGCAAAAAATTTTTATTTGCTTTTTTTTTTCCTCTATTCTTAAAATGACCACGTGGTGACTAAACGTTTGCATTCCGAATTAACTGTATTTCTCTTTCTATAAGTAAAATCACCTAAAAACTTGGCTGATTTAACATAAAATTTGGAAATATTGTTATGAATTTATAATTCAGTGATGTTTTCTTATTTATAAGCAGGGACAGTTCCTGTATACTAACAAAATGATCACTTGCCTTAAAAATGTAACAATTTAGGAAATAATTGTTTTCTCTATTTAAAAGTTCTCCTTTTCTGTCCGGAATAATTATAAAAATTCAGTTTTATTACAAAAGTTGTTAATCACATGTATAATTATTGATAAACTAAGAGTCAACTCATATTTTGTTTTTTATTACTACCTGAGTAGAAAATTTATAGAAAAAATTATTTTCGAAACAACTTACAAAGTTTGCTTAAGAAAAAAAAATTAGAAAAAGTTGTTTGAAAAATTTAATTTTTCAATTACAATATGAAATTGCAAAGCTGAATAAATCAAATTGTCAATTATTTACCAGGCGTATTTCGTATGGAAATAGATGATTTTGAACAATACAAACATAATTTTAGAAACATAATTTAACCATTTATTTATCAAGTTTATTTAAAAAAAAGAACACTTTAATAATTAAACAGCAGGTGAATTGCCTATTATGGAAATATCTTAAAATATTTGAATCCAAATTATAGGACAAAATTTTCAAAATTAATACATGTGCATAAAAAAAGCTAGAATGGGGTTGGTTTTTTAGCAAGAGCATATTTTATAGCATAAGTAAAAAATTTCTATTATTTTTTTTTTCTCTTTTTTCAATTTCTTAAAATGACACGTGATGATTCAATATTTGCATTTCGAATTAACTGTACTTCTGTTTCTATAAGTAAAACCACCTAACAACTAAGCTGATTTGACATAAAATTTAGCAAAATTATTATCAACTTATAATTCAACTTATATTTTTGGAATTATAGCTTGTTCATAGACAATATTAACTAAGCATTCAGGTGAGGTAATAGATATACCCTTTATATAATTTAGTATTTAAGAATTGTAACTTACTATTAAGAAATATTACTTAGGTACTTATGCGGTTTGATAATTATATTTCTCTTTCGTATGAGTAAAATCACCTAAAAACTTAGTTGGTTAAACGTAAAGCTGGCAAAAATTACCTTAGCGCCTAAGAATTTGTAACTAAATTTTTCTCTCTTTAATTTAAGTTAAATCACTTAAGAATTAAGTTGATTTAATATAAATCTTAACAAAATAATTATTAACTTGTATATCAGTTTAGTTTTTAGGAATTATAGCTCACTACTTTGGAATATTACCCAAGCACTTAGGTGAATTGATAACTACGTGCTTTTTTTTATATAAGTAAAATCACCTAAGAACTTAGCTGGATAAATGTAAAGCTTGCAAAAATTACCTTAGCGGTTAGTTGAATTTCTATGCACATTTTTCTTTCTTTAATTTAAGTAAGATCAGCTAAGAACTAAGCTGGTTTAATATAAAACTTAACAAATTTATTATTAGCTTGTATATAAGTTTAATTTTTAGGAATTATAGCTTAGTACTAAGCAATATTACCCAAGCACTTAGGTGAATTGATATCTGCGTATATAAGTAAAATTACCTAAGAACTAAGCTAATTTAGCATAAGTTTAGGAAATATATTTTGAACTTATAATTCAGCTTAGTTTTTAGGAATAATAACTTATTCCTAGGAAATATTGCCTAAGTAGCAACACCTAAGAATTTTTACCTTTGGTAAAATTGACTTACAGTCTAAGGTAATTTTATAAATAGATCATTACCTAATCTTATATTATAATACTACGTTAAATTACCTAAGAATAAGTTGAAACAGCTTAGAATATTTAACTTAGTTTCCTAAACATATTACCCAAGTTTTTTTGTTCAATCTGGCTTATTTTTTTACCTAATTAACACATGTAATATTCCTAATCTCTTGGCTGGTATACACTAGTTTCAAAATCTCCATACAAAAAAATTTACCAAAGTCGGTTTTGGTGATTTAACTTATGTTTTTTCGTTGGGTGTATGAGAATCGAATCATCAATTATTTCAGTGAGAATCGAAATAGGTTTTGAAGCGATCTTGCTAATAATTTTCGAAATTCTTATGAATTCTACAAAGAAATCTACTAGGGATTTGTGTTTAGAGAAAATTTATTATTGGTTTGTGTTTAGGGTAATGAGATTTAACATTATAAAAATAAATCACCAATATGACTTGCTTTGCAAAACAAACCATTAAATCAAGAAATGAACAATATTATGAACTTAAGATATTCTAATGAGGCATGTATGGGCATTATGAACTGAATTACAAATTTATTATTATGAATAAACTTAACAAAATATTTTAATGAAATACGAATAAAAATTTAAACATATTTTTTTTAGATGCTTTTAGATATTAAAACATGTGTGTGATTAAGTGTAAAATTCAAACAATATGACGTAATGTCCCATTGACAATATAAACTGTATAATACACAAACATGGAAAAAAATGGAAATTCATACTTAATAGAAAATTTTTTTAAAATAATTTCAAGCTAAATATCGAATTTCCCATTATTGATGCTTATCATACAGATACATTTTTATTTCGAAGTCAGAAAAAATAAAGAAAGAGACAACAATATTATGCAGTTTTAATTCTTTTTTAATGCCATAGTATGTACTTTTTTTTATGTTGTTTATATGCACAAACGAAATATTTTGATCTTCCAGTTTTGAATGCAGTGAATTGTAACAATAATGTTATTTAAATTAGATTCCCATTAAAAGTTAGTCAAATGTAGTAGAATTACTTAAATGTTATACTTTGCTCCAATGAACAAAAAAAAAAATATAAAAAAAAAAATACGATAAACGTATTTGAAAGTCCAAACCAAATTACATTTCGCTTACATTGACAATATTCTATTTGTTTATTTCTGTTTGCAATCAATGTGTTCTGTTACATTTTCTGTTTGGAAATCAAAGTAAATTGCATATTGTCTTAAATA